CAAGCCAGGCGGCAAAACCACTAAGCTAAATTCCCGGCCCATGTGAATAAATTTTTAATGAAAATATGTAACAGGGGGCCAGGGATTTAGCTCAGTGGTTTCGAAGCCTGCTATGCAAGCGCAAAGACCCAAGTTCGATCCCCGGTACCCAAAAAAAAAAAAAAGAAAGAAAATATGTAGGAATATTTTTGGCTGTCCCAATCATGGAAGAGAACCACTGCCAACTGAGTGGCTGAGGGTCAAGGATTTTAGACATCCTTCAATTTTGGAGACAGTCACATAAAAAAATAATTATCTAACCTCTGTATGTTTTAAGTGGCCCACTATTTACAGTTTTTAAAGTAAGTTAACCTCAGAAACTTAACTCTGTAAGATATGTAAAATCAAAGTAATTTTGTACAGTTTTAATGTTCACTGAACATTGAAATCATTGTGTTAAAAGAAAAAAAAAACACATTGTACAGTGGTTGTTGCCTTTGGAAGCTTTCCCAAAGTTGTTTACCACTTTGATCATCAATGGTAATCCCATTCTAAATATCTGAGTCAAGATTACAAACCACCTATAGGCAAATCTGCACTTGGACTTATTTGCATTGTCATAATAGTGCCCAGACATTCATACAAGCACTGGGTTATTTCTAGTGTAGTCACTCCAGGTATTTCTATACCAAGACTTAAAGTATTTTATAACAAAATATTTTTTCCTTTATTTCAAATGTTGAGTTCTAATTTTTATTTATTACAAAATACTTTGTTAAATCTACCACCATGCTATCTCTTTTCCAGTTTTTTACATAATTATTTAACATATTTAGTGAGTACAATGTAATATATATATATTTATATATATATGTAGTGTAATGATTAAAGTATTCGCATTTCCATCTTCTTAAACATTTATCATTTCTTTGTGCTGGGAAACTTCAAACACTTCTCTTCTAGTTTCTTACAAAATATATAATAAACTGGTATAAACTAGTCATCCTGCTATGCTGTAGAACATTAGGACTTATTCCTACCATGTAACTCTACTTCAGTATCCATTGCCAATCTTTCTCTCCCCTCTCTACCCTTCCTAACCTAGTAACCAGTAATGTATTTTCTATCTCTATGATCAGCTCTATTCACTTCCCACATGTGAGTGAGAATATGTAATATTTGTCTTTCTATGCCTAGTTTAACATAGCATTCTCCAGTTCTATATATGTTGCCACAAATGATAAGAATTATTTTTTATAGCTGAGTGGTATTTCATTGTGTATAGTTTTTTCTTCATCTATTCATCTGGTAATAGACTCCAACTGATTCTATATCATGCATATTGTGAGTTGTGTTTCAATGAACACTGGAGTACAGGTATCTCTGCTTATAATTTCATTTCCTCAGTACTGAGGCAGCTGGATCGTTTAGTGCTCTATTTGTAGTTTTGTAAGGAATCTCCATACTGCTTCCTACAACAGCTGTTATACCTATTTATATTCCCACCAATAGTGTACAAGAGTTCTTTCTATCTTCATCAGCATTTATTATTTTTTGTTGTTTGTTTATATCAATTGTAACTGTGGTAAAATAGTATCTTATGGCTATTTTGATTTGCATTTTCCTGATGACTAATAATGTTCAGCATTTTTTCATGTACTTGGCTCTTTGTATGACTTTTTTCATTTTTTAAAAAGTTGTATTACTTGTTTCACTTTTGAGTTCCTTTTATATTCTGGATATGAATGCCTTATCAGATGAACAGTTTGCAAATAGGTTTTTCCATTTTCCATGTTGCCTCTTTTCCCTGTTGTGTTCTTTTCTGTACAAAAGTTTCTTAGTTTGATATGACCCCAATTGTCTATTTTTGCTTTTGTTACCTGTTCTTTTCTTTGCTTTCATCTCTGTCTCTTCTAATCTTCCTCTGGATTAATTACATTATTTTTAGTGTTTCATTCACTAGTGATTTGTTACCTTTGCCTTATTTTTCAGTGACTACTCTGAGGTTAGCAATATATTTCTTTTTGTTGTTGTTCTTTTGGGGGTTTTTTGAGGTCTCACTATGGAGTCCAGGATAGCATCGAACTCACTATGTAGCCCAGGCTAGTCTCAAACTCGCAACAATCCTCTTGCCTCAGCCTTCCAAGTGCTGGTATTGCAGGCATGTACCTGTATATACCTGTATATTACCAGCCAGTAATTACTTGAAATTATCACTGTATTCATTCAAACAATATTCCAGTACTTCATATTTGTTTAGGAATATTTCTTAGTGGACTTTTCTCTCTCCTCCTGAGTGCTTGTCTTCATACATTTTATTTCTGTGTATGTTATAAACCCCATGTAATGCTGTAATTATTTTTTCTTTAAATAGTCCATTTTCTAAAGATTTTACAAGATGTAGCTTTTATATTTGCTTGCTTGTCTTCTTTACTTTTATAGATTCAAATTTCCATCCACTATAATTTTTCTTCTTAAAGTACTAGAGTTTAAGATTTTTTATAGTGAAAGTTTAAACTGATTAATTTAATGTACTTTATTTTTCTAAAAACTATTCTTCTCTATTATTTATGAATACTTTAGTGGGCTTAAAATTCTAGGGTAACTTTTTCATTACTTTTGTTACTTCATATTTTTCAATACTGAAAATATTACTATATTTTCTTCCATCACACATAGTTTCTAATGAGAAGTCTGATGTCATTGTCATTCCTTCTTTGTATATAAAGGCTATTTTTTCCTCTGCATGCCTTTATTCTCTTTATACTTGGCTTCAATTTGATTATGATGTTTATTGGCATGCTTTACTTTATATTTCCTGTGCTTAGAATTGATTTTCTTGGATTGTATATAATTTTCAGCAAGTTTAGAAAAACTTTGGCCATTACTTTTTCAATATCTTTTTATGATCCTTTTAGTTTCTTTCTTGATTTCTAATTATACATATGTAGGTAATTTGATGTTATCCTAAAGCTCAGTGGCTTGCTGTTCAATCATTTGTGGTCTTTTTTCCCACTCTGTGTTCAGCCTGGATGTTTCTACTGTTAAATCTTAAAGTTTTTTCCCTGCAATGTCTAGTCTATTTTTAATCCCACCCAGTATAATCCTCTAGAACTTGCTATCAGTCTTTTCTATCTCTTCCATTTTGTTGCTCTTCTTGTATATTTTTCCCACTATCTTTTTGAATATATGGATTTATTCATTATAACTCTTTTAACAGCTTTATCTACTAATACTGACATTTCTCAGACTGTGTCTATTGAGTAATATTTTTCTTTTTGTATGAGCTATGTTTTCTTATTTTTTTACTTGCCTGGTAAATTTTGACGGGATGGGCAGACATTGTGAGTTTTATAATATTGGTTGCATTTGTTTTGTTTGTTTGGTTAGGTTTTGCATAACACATCTTTGGCTTTGTTCTATGACACAAAGCCATTTTGTGCATGTCTTTAATGGAGCTACAATAGTTATGTGATGATTAAAGAAAGACAATGTTACTATAGAGATATTTGCAATGCTAATTTCTTACTAAGAAAAACACCCTTCTATTTACTTATGCAAAGATTGGTATTTAAAGATAATTGATTGACCTTTTCACTACTTTTAGCTGAGTACATTCTTAAATGATATCACAACTTAAGAGTATAAAGACTTAACATAAAGAGAAAACAAAATATAAAGCTCAATTCTGCAGCATACTTCTTAGAACTGAATAAATGGAATGTGTTAAAACTAAGTAAAAATTTAAAGTAATTAAAAGTTACTGTATTTGTATATACTGAACGTGAAAAATTTTGTATAATTTTCTATAAAGCCATATGGAGTATTAAATTTTGTATACGGTTTTTCTTAAGACTTGAATTCACTTTTGAAGCAGTGTAATAAATATGTGCATGTATGTAAATGCAATATTATGTCATATATATGCAAAATTTAAGACACTCCTACACATTTATAAAATTTTAGTTTCTATATGGTACATAGAAAGTCTCAATAAATTTTTGAAAAGTAAAGAGAATAAAATTAAAATAGAATTCTAAAGGTATGATAATGATGATATCATATTGAATCACCTCAAAACTCCTTTTGAAATATAAATCCAACTGTGATGGCAAAATGCATTGATTTTCTTTGTTTTTTGCTTCATATTTAAAAATTTATTGAAAAGACCAATACCAAGGGTCTTTTCCCCTGTGTTGTCTTCTAGGAATTGTATGGTTTCAGATCTTATATTTGAATCTTTAATCTACTTTGCATTAATTTTTGTATGTGATATGTGACAATAGTCCTATTTCATTATTTTGTATGTAGATATTCAGTTTTCCCAGCATCATTTAATAAAGAGACTTTCCTTTCCCTATTACTTATTCTTGGTACCCTTGTCTAAAATTAGTTGGCTGTGTGTGGGGATCAAATTATATTTAGTAATAAAGATTTATATAAGAAAAGAAAAAACTAAACTCACCTACCAAAGTGAGGCAAATTTAGTTCAAAAAAAAAAAAAAGAAAAGATTATGATCATTTTCATGTGAGACAGCCATGGATTGGTGATATGCTTCTGGAGAAAGTCAATTCCCTGTTATCGCCTCAGTTGATCTTTTACTGTATTTTTCTAAAATTGATGTAAAAGAACTTGTTCTCTCTTAGAGAAAATAGGATGCTGACAGGCACGAAGAGGGACATGTTGGGGTTACATTCTCAGAGTGTGGCTTACAATACTCATCTGTTAGGCTTCTAAGAGTTAACACCACATTAAGTGAGTGGAACCAGAGAAGGCTTTGCCCAATGAAAGAGCTTTATTAAAATGCACCTTCTATAACAATAGCACAATTCTGAAGCATATTTATTAATACTTTAAAACCTTATAATTTGAAACTAAATTTATTTTAAGGACAACAGCTATTTTTCACATTGTTCAATTTTTCAAAGACAAGCCAGTTGGCTCATTGATGACCTTGGTTTACTAGCAATTAAAAATGTAGGTAATTCAGAATGCAACATGGATTTCATTGCAGTCTAAATATTTGGTAGCAATTTTATTGAAGTCAGACCATTTTCAACTCTAATGACTCTAGATGCTAACTTTCTGCAAAAAAAAACCTAACATCAAAATGTAGAAACTATTTCTAAGATAATGAAAATGGCTGTTTTCATTTGGCTTGATATATCCAGTGTTTTCTTCTACAGAAAAGTAGTATTGGTTACTTTTTCTTTTTTTTCTGGTTGGCAGGAACTGGGACCTTCTTTTCTGTCTCTTTCTTTTCTGGCTCTGCCTCCTGAGCTGTCTGTGCCTCCAACTTTAGGTGCTGGGCTTCTAGCACCTTCCTTCTGTACTCTTCTCGGATGTCCAAGATTTTCAGTCGGGCTTCATCTAAGGAGTCCTGGTTCCAAAACAAAACCTTAAAAAATCAGTTCCAATGACAAAGGTTTATGGCCCCAGAAAGGAAAAAAAAAAAGAGCAATATCTTTATCATTTCCTTGTAGCAACACATTCATGAGGGCAATTATTGAATATGATTATTGAGTCCTTTGAAATTGCATGAGACTCTGTGACTTGCTTTAACAAAAGAAATAAAAGTGAGAAAAATGTGCCATTTGGGGGCAGATATAGTAATAGCCAGTGTGCACCTCACTATACTCTCTTCCTCTACCATAATAATCACAGCAGAATTTTCTGTATGGAATTTCCTTTATGGTATCTTAATAAATGTAAAATAAAGGACCCTCTACTGACTGTATTGAACATGTAGCTAAAATGAAACATGCTCTTTTATTGTTTTAAGCCCCAGGCTGGTAAACTAAAGCTTATCAGACACATCTGGCTTACTGTTTTTCTAAATACGGTTTTATTTATTTATGTATAATCCTATCCATTTAAGCATTATCTTTTATTTTGTATTAATAATGGCAAAGGTGAGCAGATGCAACATATGGCCTATAAAAAGATCCCATTTGACTTACAAAGACAAAAGCTTTTACTCTCTGGTATCTTATACAAACTAAGTTTGCCAAATCCTATACTAAGCCACTGTGACGATGTGATTCCTGTTAGCACAGGTTAATATAGTTTATTATGATTGATGTAGTGGTTTTGGCTGCTGAGGGGAGTCCACATCACATGCAAAGATGGAAGTAGGAAGATAACTGAAGGGCTTGGAGCAATATACTGAACGGAGAGCCAGGAGAGTTTCCACTGGGGTGGGGGCAGGGGGACAAACATTGTTAGAAGTGGTTGAACTTTGGAAGTATTTTCAAGATAGAGTTGAGAGCTTTTGATAATGGATTATGAGTGAAGAGTGAGTCAAGGATGTCTCCAAGGTTTCTGTGCTGTGCCATGAAAAGACAGCAATTGCCATTTACTGAGATGGGGAATATTGGTGGTGTGCTATGTTTGTGCTGAGCTGAGAGGGAAGGCAAGAACTCTAGAATTTGAAATTGGAGAGGAGTTTGAGGAGCCATTGGACAAACAAGAAAAGATTGGCATATTCTTCATGTAGGCCAATAATGGAAATGAAAAGAAAAACTCAATATCATTGTGGTTAAAGTGTTTAGACAGTCCTGTAGCTTTTAGCATCAGAGGGGGAGAGGATGGTAATAGGCAAGAGGAAGGAAAAAAAAAAAAAAGCAAATAAATCCTCTTCCTCCACAGTGGAAAGTCATGTGTATACATTTTTTAATTTTTTTCATTTCTGGGATGATACTTCCATTTTTGATTAAGTTTGGTTTTCCACAGTACAGAAATCCTTTTTGGGAGCAGGGTGATGTACAAATGGAACACCTTTATTCTTCTGATAAAGTGGGTAACAATCACCTGGCTGCAAAAAGTTGAGGTGGTATTATAAAATTGTTTTAAAAGTTTAAATTAATGAAACCTAATTATCTCATCCTCCTCCCATTTTCACTTCCAAGTTCTAGCATACGTAGGATGCTGACCCTTTGGGAATTCTGGAGCAAGTTGGGCTGATTCTTAAGTTTCCCTTATGCCAGTAAAGAATTTGTCTTTCCCAAGTCTGCTAATGTAGTCTTCATCTAGTTATCTGTCAAGTTCATACAAAGTTTTATTGTTGTCATCTCTCTCATTTTTCCCATTTTGAGGACTTCCAATATGACATTTTAGAGAAACTTTTAGGGAATAAGTGAAAATGAAATACATATAACCCTCTGGCCATCTTTTCCAAGGAGTTATGAATTGTAGAACTAAATGTTTTAAAAACTTCACTCTATTCAGATATCATATGATTCTGGCTTTTTGTTCATATTACAGAAGAATTTGTTAACTGTGATCACATATGTACTTTTAAACTCACCTGTATTTGTGCATACTTGTTCAGGACCTCATTAAACTGTTCTTTTCTATCAGTTTCTCTGGAGCTAAGGACTCTGGTCCTGTACTGCTGAAACTGATGAATTTCTTCTGCCTTTTCCATTACTTGCTGCTGCTTCAGTTCATCTGTTTGCAGCACAGCCTCATCCTTTGTTTTCCTTAATATAAAATTATCAAAAAAAATACAGAAATCACTTGAGAATTCTATGATAAACTTAAGAAATAAAAAATAAGGTAAAATCATGCCAAAAGTGTGGAAGTCTGAATCCAATCAAACAGAAAAAATAAACTATTAATTTTAAATAGCCTTTGGTCCATTTACTGAATAACTGATGTTTTTGGAAAATATCAGGAAATTTGAATATACCATTTGATGAGGTGGTTGTGAAACTGGTGTCCAAACTTCTGAGAATATTTTGTAGGTTTTCCTTCTGAATTTATGCAGCTAAGCAATTTTGACCATGTTTTCAAACTTATAAATATAAATGAGTAACTATCTCTCTATTGATCCCATTGCCTTGTTCTTAAGAAAATGTGATATAATTAAGTAAGGGCAGCTGGTATGATGAGAATTTTCTGTATCTCAACTTACCTTAATCAGGCTTCAGATTAAAGGTTTACATTACATTTAAATGTTTTATGATTGATTTAATAAAGCATTTGTCAAATTTGAGATGTAAAATCATGAATTTCTAAAAATTTAGACAACCTGAAGATATATTAAGCATGTAATTTCAAATTTTCAGTTGCTTAGCAACTTCCCATTGGCAGTATATCCAAAATTCTATGAACACAGATGTCTGCATTAATCATATTGACTAAAACTTACCGTACATACTGATTTAAGTCCATAAATTCCAGTGCTTTTCTAATAAGTCGTGAAGATGTTTTCAAAAGTGATGGGGATCCTGAATGAGGCCCTGCTTAAAATAAAGAACTAGGCTTTCAAAAAAATAACCAACAATGGTTAACTTACCTGAGGGCATTTCTTCTATAACATGACATGTGCCTTACTGAAAAAGCTTGCATTTTACCAAATCATATGCAAAAGGTCATAAGGCTTGTGAAGGCTTGAAGATATTACTCAGAAGCTTTTCAACCTTTAACCACAGTACCAGCAAAAGCAGCCACTGGTACCTCCCAAAATGATGTGGGCAGCCCAGCAGTGGTGTATCCGGAAGCTATCTCAGGATATCAAAACTTCACACAGAAATAGAGGCTTTTTGGAACTAAGATAAAATGAATGAACATGAGATCTTTGAACTCTGGGGACTGCTATGAAGGTAAACCCTGAAGGAAAAGTCACCCTCTCCCTAACCATGTTGACTGTTGGGCACAGGTGGGGCATTTCTCTCTGAGAAGGGCGTCCTGTGTGTGGGCACTTATTTAAATCTGTTTTAAAGTGCAGTTGAAAAGGGCTCTTCCTTGTGCGATCTTTGTCATTGTGTAAAATCCAACACACCTTCCACATAAAGCAGACATTATTCCCCTATTTCTCAACTGCAGGTGGTTTAATTTGCACTGTATTCTGCTTTGAATAAAAGGTAATAATAAGGTGGTGCTTAAAACCACAGGGAAATGTTAAAAGGGAAATATCAGTAGTGCAAATTTGGTTCCTTAAAAAATATTATTAAAACTGATGCGACCCTAGAGCAAGACTGATTAAGGAAAAAAAGAGGGATGTAACAATTATTCAATAATTTTAACATATAAAATAGACAACTACATTGTGAAATGCAACTTACTATGCCTGACACAGGAAGAAACAGAGCCACTAAACAATGAGACATACAGAGCACATACTCTGGGTCTAAGTAGAAGTGTTTCAGAACAGGCAAAATGAATTGATGGTGGCATATGTCAGATTAATGGTTTCCTTGAGGAAAGAAATGGTTGGGAGAGGGAATGAGGAGGACTTTTGGGATGTCATGTTTTATGTGTTAATCTGAATGATGCTTCCCCAGTATATACATACACAAAAATCAAACAAGCTATACAGTTAATATATATACCCTGACTACATGTGTATCTGATGATAAAATCAGGCACCTCAGAGCCCTGTTCTCAGCTAGAGATTCACTTTGGCCCACTGATCCCAATTTTAGCAAAGAATCCTTACTCTCCCTATCCACAATACACAGTCAAGATCTTCTTCTCCCACCTCTTACAGCTAATTAAGTTCCTTTTCGTTGATCCCTGATAACTAACCAAGTTCATCTTAGTAATTACCCACCTACTTCTTCACCTGCCTTTGAGTATAAATCCCCACTTGTTTCTGTTGTATCTTGAGTAAAATTCTATTTCTCACACTTATCTCAGTAGTCTTGAGTAAAGGCCTTTATTTAATGTGTACAGTGTAATATTTTTTAGATACATTAGCCAAAATTCTAAAACATAAATCTATATCCTAAAGGTGAAGAACTAGGTCCCATTCACCTTTGTCTTCCTAGTATTACACTAGACTTTAATCGTTAGAGGAGTATTTTAGGACTTAGAAATATTTCAAATCTCAATTTTGTTACTTTCTAGATGTATGGCTTTAGGAAGAGTAAGATGACTCTCTGAATTTGGTCTCTTTACCTACAAAATGGAAACAGAAATGTGTGTCTTAGGGTTGTAGTGGGTAAAAGTGAGATAATAAACAAAAAACACTTTACTTAGTCTCCTTCCAGCATAATAGGACTAGGGTGATATTTACTGTTCATACTATTCATTAATTAAGGGACATTATTTCTATAACAATTATTCAGTTACATTCCAAGTGATATAAACATAGAGGAGCATGATCTGCTATGTGAATCCCTTCTTCCCCCTTAGAAGCCCTGAGTAGTGATAGATGGAAGCAGCAAAGTGGTGGGAAGAGACACTGGGGCCATGGAAGGCCCTATCTGCATAGTGGTTGTGAACTTAGAAATAGTACTGATGCTCCTGGACCTGTGTCCTTACTGATGAATTAGAAACAATATTGTATATCTCAGTGGGTTGATATGAGTTGGCCCATATGAGCAAGTTCTGCATCCACAGATTCAACCAACTATGGATCAAAATATTCAATAAAAGAAATATTATGTTGTCCTGTACTATGTAGCTGATACTACAGTGGTTGTGTCTATGCTGAACATGTACAGTTTTTTCTTTATATTAATCATTAAGTAATATAGAATAAAACCTATTAAATTTGTATTTACATTGCATTAAGTATTATAAATATTCTATAGATGATCTAAAGTATACAAGAGAATGTACATAAGTTATATGCAAATCTTTCAACATTTTATACAAGTGGCTCATGGATTCTGGTATCTGTAAAAGGTCCTAGAACAAATCTCTTATGAATAATGAGGGCCAATTATAGTTAAAATAATGCACACCACCAAGGCCAAACAGTCACTTAATAAATGCAGTTAATTTTATTATGATTCTTCTTGTTATTTGTTGTTTATTGCTATTATTATTAAAGGTAACAGATTAATAGTAATATGCCTGCCTTCAAGTTCCATACTGCTACCTTTAACTAGGGTACACTCTTATCTCTGGTTTCACCTTTTCCTAAATGAAGAAATCATACCCACCTGGGGGGAGGAGAAGTAGGAATGAAATGAGAAAATGAGTGAAAATCATTTGATAAACTGCTTGTATGCTGATCTGAAACTGCATGACTTTTCACAATCCTAAAGACTAGAAATTCAGAAATGTTTCTTTTACCAAGCATGACACACTGACTATTTTGGATGAGGTCCAAGTAGCACCTGCATGCTTGGAGGCATTGGTGGGAGGTGGGGGGACCCACTGACCTTCTTCTGCGGGTTTAGCTGGGCTTTCGCTCACAGTCACACTCTCGGGAGCAACAAATGGTTTCTTAAATAACTGGCTGAGGTACCGCAGCCGAGCCTGAGAGGCCTGGAGGACAAACATGAGATCTTTGAAAATCACCAACCAGTACATCAACAAGTGAACAGTACACAAATAAAACAGGAAAGCATGAACTGAGTAGCACACTTAGAGCCAGCTTAGCTCTAAACTCATATTCTGAGCTATCAATGATTTTGACAGTTATTTTTTTAAACAACTAAAATTACTCTGCTGGGCATGCTATCTTCAATCAAGCTGCTTCTGAATCTTTTTCATCTGCCTTAACTACCCCGAGTGAGGACATGAAACATATGGGTAATGACAGCATTTCACTATGGCAAAGATCCTTACATCAAATATAGGAGGGAAAGACAAGGTGTGAATATACCACAAGGGGGTAGCACATGCTTTTTTAATTGATCTAACACTGTTCAAGCACTACAGGTAAGCACACGTTAAACACTTTTATGCTTTCTTACTTGAGGGTATCAAGGGCAGATGTGGATATAGCCCTAGTTATGTGAAGAAAGAAACTCATAATTTGAACCTGTAAGTGGCACCATTATGTGCTTTATTTTCATAAGGATAATATTTAAAATGTGTCCAAAAGTGATCTTAACATGTAGTAAATCGCTGTCTGATAAAATTCAAGACACCATTCATAAAGGAAAGGTTCTGTGGTTTCACCAAGATGGCTCTTCCTTTAGACCATGTCAAATGATGTAAAATACAAAATGACAGCTTTTCGGACAGGTGACCTTGATTACTCTTCCTGGTTCATTCTTCTCCCAGGCTTCCTTCATGGCTCGGATTTCATCTGCTCGTTCTGTATCTTTTTTTACTTCAAAGAATTCTGATTCATTATGTTCAGAGAACAATCTCAAAATCCAGTAGGGCTTGTTTGGATCTTCTGGTTGAGTGTGAACAATCGACATCTGACAAGATAAAAAATACAAACTTTTGGGTCAAATGTTTTCCTCCTTTCAAACTGGCCTAGTTTTTACCCTCTGATCTATAATTTCACTATTAGGTTTTTAACCAAGAAAAAGGAAAGCATAATTCACTGAAGACTTGTACAAGAATGTTCATTGCAGTCTTACTCATAACAATAGCAAAGGAAACACCATAAATATTTAAAAACTATTGAGTGGATAAACAAATTATAAGAGTCATAAAACCAGGTACTACTTAATATTAAACAGTGATAATCTACTGATATACACCACAGTGTGAATGAATCTCACAGGCAGACATTTACTGAGATGAAGTTGAGCACACAAGAATATATACCTTATGTTTCATTTATCTGAAGTTCCAGAATATGCAAAACTAATCTATGATGATTGAAAGCAAATTGATGGTTTCCAGGAAGTGAGATATATGGATGACAGAATTGAGTACAATGAGTTTATGGCTGTGAACTATAATCTATACCTTGATGGGTGTGGATTACATTGTGAATGCATGTGTCAAAAGTCATCAAATTGTATGATTAAGACTTATGCATATTACTCTATGTGAACCTTTCTTAAAAATTGTACACAATGATATCTAAATTATACTTATGCCGGCTCATAACTTTTCTTCACAAAAATTAGAGCAGGATAGTTGATAGGCCAGGATGTACATACTTGCTATATATCTATTATGAAAGTGAATAAGAATTTAGTGTCTGGGCCGGGGATTTAGCTCAGTGGTTCCAGCGCCTGCCTCAAAAGCGCAAGGTCCCGAGTTCAATCTTCGGTACCAAAAAAAAACAAAAAAGAATTTAGTGTCTGATTTGGTTTAATTGTGAAGTGTTTAGAGAATGACTCGTGTATAGAGGGCTTGATCCCCAAGCCAGCAATGTTCAGAGTGGGGCCTAGAGAGGTAACTGGATCATGAGGGCACTGACCTCAACAATGAATTAACAGGTGAATCCACTAATGATCCCATTAATCCACTGATAGATTACTCCTTTGAGGGTATATCTATCCGGTCACACCAGTGCCTTCCTGGCTGCCATCAGGCAAGCAGCCCTCCTCCACCAGGCCTTTCTGTCAGGGTATTCTGCTACACCACAGGCCTAAAGCAATAGAGCCAGCTGACCATGGAGTGAAACCTCTGAAACTGCAAAACAAAATAAACCTCTTCTCCTTTAAGTTGTGTATGTCATGGATTTGACCACAGTGGCAAACGGCTGACTAAAACAATGTGTCATAGGATCATTTGCATGGACCATAGACTGGAAGCAGTTGATACAGTGTTAACAGTTTCTACATAGGTGAGGATCATTGGTGTCAATCAAGTAGGCAAGAGAGGTTTTAATTCACCAAGTAGCTTTTCTGCCACTTTCTCTCCCTCCTGTCCTTCTGGAGTTCCACTATATATGTGTGCTTGTGTCCCACAAGTCCCTGAGGTTTTGTTCCTTGTCTTCATTTTTTATTCTCCCACTTGATAACCTCAAACTATCTCCAAAATGGGGAGTAGGTTTTTCACAATGAACTAGCTTGTAAGCAGTCTTGTAAATAAGATCTTCCAGGAGTCACCAGACAATTAAAATAGTAAAACTGACGTGGACGCATAGCACTGTGCATAAGGTCAAGACTATGTTAATTATCGATGTCAAATAATGTAGTTGGGGAGTGACAGATCAATGCAGCCACTGAAGAAAGTTTTCACTTGTGGTTTCGTTTCAATGTTACCAAAAATACCTTGCTTTCTACAATACTCCCCTTGTATTCTATGAGAGCTGATGCTCACAATTGGAAATTCTTTTAGTTCTTACTTTAAAAACAATGAATTCGTTTTATCACCTTTCAAATGGCTTGATAAATGAGTTCATCAGAAACTTTTCTAGGCTCGAGTTTTGATTGAAGAAGGGAGCACTATGAAGGCACTAAAAGAATGCCAAATGTCTTGTACAAATCTATGGATAAGGTTAAGCTTATTTACTTCATGATACTTCCAAAGGCAGAGCCGGCTAAGAAATACAATCTTTAAAAAGTAAACGGATAGGATTTTTCTTTCCAGGAGTCTGAGACAGCTCTTCCACTTATTTGCTACTTTTCCTTGTTAATTGTCCATATTACTAGTGATACCAATATCTGACTTAGTTATTCTTGCTGGAAACCTGGCAGATATACTTAGATTTTTCTTGTTCTTTAAATCCTACCCCTGTTTTTTTTTCCTGTGCATCTGATCTCTCCTTCCTTTCTTTTGACCTGTTCCCGGCACATTCTTTTGTTTGGACCACTGAAGCACTTTCTGGAATGGTTTCCCCAACTCCATCTCTAGTTTTACCTCCTTTGAATCCATGGGGAACCTGAAATGAAAATCTGATCATGTCAATACACTTCTTAAATCACCCTATTTCCAGTTCTGCTTAACCAAGGCAATGATCACCTGTGGTAGACAGATTTTCATCCTCATAGGCATTTTGTTTAAATGCAGCCCTTTTTAAGTAACTTGAATTTAAGTGTCACTAGGCTTGTTTTACACTGCTCCTGAGCCTCCATCCTTGGAATGACCTGACTTTCCCTAAAGTTGCTTAGAACCAGGACCTCAGGGCTGGAGACAGAGCCCCAAACCCTCTAATGAGTTTTGAAGGCTTTCTTCCATCTCTCACTTACCCCTCCATCTTCATTTCTAAAAAAAAAACAATCACTTTGATTTTGCCTCACCATATCTTTGCTCATTGATTCAATTCAGGGCTCAGTTCCTCCAGGAAGAGTACAGATTAGTTAACTGTCCTTTCCATCCATTCAATGTCTAACATTAAAATTCTACTGCAATGAGAGTGCTTTGAGGGTAGGGAGTGTAGCATATTAATTTTAAAAGCACAAAGTTCCAAGATGTCCTGAACTAATGGTTCAGTTAATGCTTTTTAGTACTAAACTAGGTAAGGGAATTTAGGAAAAGTGTTCAAGGATCTCCCTCAAGATATCTAGATTGTTGCTGGAATCAGGGAGATAGAAATTTTCACAACTTCTTGTCCTCAGGAGAAATGGTCAAGCAGGAACCCAGTGAACCTAAATTCATTAAGTGATTCCAATAGGAACATGTCACACCCACCTGAGGCTCAAAGCGAGATGCTTGTTTTTCCTGGGCTGTCTTTGCTTTCTCAGAAGACTTTTCGTTGCCTTTCCTTATTGTTTTGGAAGTTCCTGAAGATTTTTGCCCCTCACTAGTAATTTGAGAATCTGGGCTTCCCACAATAATCAATTCCTCATGTTTTTCCCCATGAACTACAGAAACATAAAAATGGAAACAAGTGAGTCACGATATGACAATAAAATTATTCTATGTAGGTCAAGGGTAGCAGGTTAGAGGGGAAAATGGTTAATTTAAAGAGTTTAGAATTTTCTTATTCTTTACACAATGCTTGCACAGAACTTAAGAGTCTGTGTGCCCCTCACTGCTTCTCCACTGTCACTCAGTAAAGTCCAAGTCCCAGAGATCTCAATGCCCACAGAAGATGGGGTTAACCACATTTGAGGCCCACTGTGGCTGATGCTGGTTAAAAGAACCTCACAAAAACTGAGGTAGAAGAAGTAATTTTTTTCACTATGCTTTCCATATAATTCTGCTACTGGTAATGCTGCGTTTGCTGTATCACAGCAGTTCATGATTTTGTGACTGTGCAAATTACCCAGAAAATTCTGTAAAATGAAGGCCTCAAGACCAACTGCCATAATTTCCAAATCCATGATCTGATTGAGGTCCAAGAATCCACATTTTTTAAAAGTTGCCTCCTATGATTCTAATTTAAGTGTCCCTTGGATCTGACTTTGAGAAACATTGCTGCAAGAAGTTTACATGGGTCTCTCTTTTGTTAGATGCAAATGCTACAAAAGGATGGGCTGAAAGGAAGCATATCAATGGCTTAGAATTCAGAGAAACTGAAGGTACCTTCTTAAGAGTGGTTCTTAAGCTTTAGCCTGAATTGAATTTCTAGAGGGGTTTATTATGAAGCAGACTTAAGGGCACCACCCCTAAAGTTTCTGATTTGGTAGGTCTTCAGTAGGGCTTCCATATTTGTATTTCCTACCAGTTCCCAGGTGATGCTGAGGTCCTGGTACAATTTTTGAGAATCATTGTTTTACATTTTGGAGGGTATAATTGCCTTTCCCAAAAATGAATAACTTCTGCCTATGCTTATAGTTTAAATCTGTCTCCTACAGTTCATGCAATGAAAATTTCTTTTCTTAATTCATTAATTTTATTGGTACATTTTAGGTACACAAAATGTTGACATTCATTATTGGGAATTTATACCTTTACATAATCTATCTTGGTTCTTATCTTTTTCCCCATTCCCCTGCCCTCCCTTCAACCCCTCCATCCCTCCCTGTTTACAAAGACTTTGTTTCCATTTTTTCCTTTTCTCATATTAATTCCCTTCCCTTCTTTCCTTTTCCCTACCCGTCCCACTTCCCCTTCCCCTTTGGACCTTTTCTTCCTAATTACATTATCTATTATACATTTTAATCCTTATTTACACTTTCAGTTTCTCACACTAGACAAACTATTCAGTATTTACATGTGTGTCCTATTTATTTCACTTAAGAGTATGGCCTCAATGTGCATCCATTTAGCTATAAATGTCTCTATAGTTTCTCGATCTTTATGGCTAAGTAATACTCCATTTTATTAAAAAAAATTTCTTTATCTAGTCTCCAGTTGATGGCCAATTGGGTTGTTTCCAAGTTTTAGCTATTACAAACTGTGCCACTATGAACATGGGTGCACATATATCATTGTGGTATGATTCTTTTAATTCTTTTGGGAAGATGCCCAGCAGGGGAATAGCTGGGTCAAATGGGACCTCTAATCCTAGTTTTTTGAGATATCACCATACTGATTTCCACAGTAGTTGCACCAGTCTACACTCCCACCAACAAAGGAGAAGTGTTGCTTTTTCCCCACAGCCCCACCAGCATTTGTTATTGGTTGATTTCTTGATAGCAGCCATTCTTTCTAGGGTGAGGTGGAATTTCAGGGTTGTTTTCATTTGCATCTCTTGAATGACCAGTGATGTTGAACATTTTTTCATATTTTTATTTGCTATTTCTATTTCTTTGTCTGAGAAATGTCTGTTCATTTCAGATCCCCATTTTTGGATTGGGTCTTTAAATTTAGGAGGTCTGATTTCTTTAAGTTCTTTATATTTTCTAGATAGTAGACATTTGTCTGAGGAACAGCTGGTAAAAAATTTTTCCCACATTGTGGGTTGTCTCTTCATGCTGTTAATGGTTTCTCTTGCTGTGCAGAAGCTTTTTAATAAGATGAGATCCCACTTGTTGATTGTTTGTGCTAGTTCATGGGAAACTGAGGTTTTGTTCATGAAATATTTTCCTACACCAATGTCTTCAAGGGTTCCACCTAACCTCTCTTCCAGCCAGTTTAGTGTTTCTGTTTTAATATTTAGATCTTTAATCCATTTTTATTTTAGTGCATGGTGAGAGATATAGGTCTAGTTTTAATCTTTGGCAAGCTGAAATCCAAATTTTCCAGCACTTTTTTTTTTGCCAGTACCAGGGATTGAACTCAGGAACTTGTGCTTGTGAGGCAGGCACAGTGCCACTGAGCTAAATCCCAGGCCCTCCAGCACCATTTATTAAAGAGGTTTACTTTCCTCCAGTGAGGATGTTTGACTCGTTTGTCAAAGATGAGGTGGCTGAGTATGTCCAGAATTGTTTCTGCATCTTCTTCTAATCTTTTCCACTAGTCTTCAGGTCTGTTTCTTTGCCAGTACCATGCTGCTTTTATCATAGTAGCTTTGTACTATAGTTTCAAGTTGGGGATTGTGATACCCCCTACCTTGTCTTTGTTGCCTAGACTTGCTTTTGCTATTTTAGGTCTCTTCTTGTCCAAAATGAATTTTTGAATTGTTTTCTCAGGCTCTGTGAAGTATGCTGTTCAAATTTCAATTGAGATTGCATTGAATCTATATAGCAACTTGGAAGTATGGCCATTTTCACTATATTGGTTCTTCCTACCCAGGAGCAAGGGACGTCTTTCAATTTTCTGATATCATCTTCAATCTCTTTCTTCAGAGTGCTGTAGTTTTCAGAGTAGAGGTCTTTTACTTCCTTCATTAGATTGATTCCTAGGTATTTCATTTTTTTGGATGCTATTGTGAAAGTTGTTTCTCCTTTCTCTCTCAGTGAATCTATTGTTCATGTACAGGAAGGTTATTGATTTTTATGTGCTGACCTTGTATCTATCCAGCTACTCTGCTGAATTTGGTTAGTAAGTCTAAAAGACTTTTGGTGGAGTTTTTGGGGTTTTCTATATAGAGTATCATGTCATCTGCAAATAATGACATTTTAAATTCTTCATTTCCTATTGTTATTCCTGTGTATTACATTTATTGATTTGCATATGTTGAACCATTCCTGCATCCCTGGGATGAATCCCACTTGGTCAGGTAGTATGATCCTGCTTTTTTTTTTTGGTTCCTGTCATATGGAGTATTGTTTTCCACCCTTTAACTTTCAGCCTCTGAGTTTCTTTTTGAATTAAGTTTGTTTCTTGTATGGAGCATATTGTTGGATCTTGCTTCTTGACCCATTCTGCCAGTCTATTTCTTTTGAATGGTGAATTGAGACCATTAACATTGATGTTTATAACCGATATATATTGACTTATCCTTGTCATGACCTTTTCCTGTTGTTGGATTGTCTCCCTTTGCATTTAATGTCTTGTCTTGCCTGATGTATTCATTCTGTGGGGCTTCTGGGCTTGCAATTCTCACTGTCTTTTCATAGAATATTGTTTAAAATTTTTTGGAATGTTGGTTTGGTATTCATGAAGTTCCTCATGTGTTCTTTGTCATGATAGTTTCTTATTTCTCCATCAATTTTGAAAGATTGTTTTGCAGGGTACATCAATCTGGGTTGGAGGTTGTTTTCTTTTAGGGCTTGAAATACTTCATTCCAGGCTCTTATTGACTTGAGAGTTTTTGTTGGGAAGTCTACTGTGATTCTGATGGGCTTTCCTTTGTATGTATTTTCTCTAACTGCTTGTAGAATTTTATTTTTCTGTTGGGTTTCTGGAATCTTGACTACTATATGCATAGGTGTAGATTTTTTTTTGATCATGGCTAGTTTGAGTCCTATATGCCTCACTTATCTGTATATCAAATTCTTTTCCCCTGCTTGGGAAATTTTCTGCCATTACTTCCGTGAACAGATTTTTTTATGTCATCTGCACCCTCTCCTGTTTCTTCGTTGATTCTGATCAGTCTTATGTTATTCTTCTTTGCATCATCTAGCAGCTGTTGGATTGATTTCTTGTGATCCATTACTATTTTAAAGAAATTTTTCTTTTCCTGGTCACTAATTGCAATCCCCTCTTTTGTATCTAAAATTCTGTCCTCACATTGGCTCATTCTGATGCATAAACGTTCAATGGAGTTTTTAGTCTCCTGGATATCTGTTTGCATCTGTTTTATGGATTACATTTATTTCCTGAGCTCGGATTCCATCATGTTCCTTGGCTCCTCTATTTTTTTATATATGTCTGCTCTAGAGTTTTTAATCATGTCTTTCACCATGGACACAATCTCTGTTGTTATCTAACAAATTATTTCTAATTTTATTTTTTCCAGATCCTCTCATTGCCAGTTTAGGGAGTCCAGATGGTTGAGTATCAAATTGTTACATCTTGTTGCCCCTTGGGGTTGCCGTAGGTGATCTTGAAGTCTGGTTTTGAGTCTTGTTTACATGTCTTTTCATTTCAAGAGATGCAGCCTGTTGCACCTTTGTGGATGGAGGCAACTCTTTGCTGGCCCACTTGGCTTCAATTCCCAGAAAGCCTCAGAGAGGGCTTCTCTCTGCTGCTCACTACTGCACCAACTCCTGGGTTCAGAATGGTGGCCTTCTGGATTCCTGTGCTGCACTGTTGTCCAGGTAGGGTTCTGTCTGAGGCCTGTGCACACTTAGGATGGTATCTGGGCATGCCTCTTGATGGGACCTGCCCACTTGTGTAGCTATTATCTGAGAGGGCCTTTGGCTCGGGGCTGTGCACCCAAGTCACTCCTGTCTGAGCATGCTTCTGGCTTGGGTAGCACACACTTACCAATGGTATCTTGGTGGGCCTCTTACTGTTGCCTGCACACCTGTGCAGCTGTTTTCCAGGTAGGCCTTTGGCTCCAGCCTGTGCACCCAAGCTGCTGGTGTCTGGGTGGGCCCTGGCTGGAGCCTGGGGACCCATGCTGCTGTTACCAATGCAGACTTCTGGCTGGGGTCTGTGTGCACTTACCAATGGTATCTGGGCAGGCCTCTGGCTGGGGTCTGTGTGCCTGTGCACCTGTTTTCCAGGCAGTCCTTTAGCTTGGGCCTATACACCCAAGCCGCTGGTGTTACGGCTGGCCTCAGGCTGTGGCCTGTGTGCCAGTACAGTTATTTTCCAGGCGGCTCATGCATTGAAACTTTAATACCCAATGCAACAATTGTGCAAGTTGGGACTTGGAGCAGATGACTGGGTCATTAAAGATTGCATCCATGAATGGATTAATGCCATTATTGTGGGAGTGGGTTCATTATCAAAGGAGAGAGTTTCTCCCTCTTGCCCATCCATTGCCTTGTGCCATGTTATTATAAAGCAAGAAGACCCTCACTAAATGGTGACACTCTCATCATAGATATTTTGTTCTCCAGAATCGTGAGTCAATAAATTCCTTTTCACTACAAATTACCCAATCTATTGGGTAGTCTGTTGGAGCAGCATGAAATGGACTAAGAAACTTATTTTTTATTAGCTTTTTTTTCCTGACAACTAAATACCCAGATGTCCAGGGATAAATAATATTTGTTGAATCCCTACTGTGTTTCCTCTTTTGGTTCTCAAAATATTCCAGCAGGGCAGATTCAAAGAAGTTATGTAACTTACTGGTGAGAGTTGAATCAGCATTCAATGCAAGTTCAAAAAATTTACCAGTCCTTTTCTAAATTAATGTCTCATAAGTCACCTCATAAGCAAAGTAAAATAGTAATTTAAGGGGTGAAGATCTATTTCATCAATTGCTTGGTGCCCAGATATTACATTCTTTCAAGTTGGAAAGAGATCACTCTACAAGATTGCCAAGGGAGTATGGGTGCCACCCTTTTAATGGGAGCAATTTGTCCTTCTACCAGCAACCCAAGCTGCTGAGAAGTGTTGTGCTAGGGGAAAAAAAATCTTTGGTCAAATAAACAAATAACTTGGCAGTGAATCCTGGTTCATCCACAGGATAGGTTAACTCTGTCAGGTTTATTACATTCTTTGAACCTGTTTCCCCTCTGTATAATGAAGATACAAACCTCAGGCCCACAAGGCTTAAAAGAGTCAATATAAAGCATTTATTATAGGATCCTACCTAGCATCATACACCCTTGGTTTCTACAATGTTTGATAAATGTCAGTGGAAACTGAATCTCAAATTGCTCCTGAAGTATTTCTGGGGCTCTCTTTTCTTACTGCCCATAGTTGTTAGTGTTTGAGTCATAAATTTAGGTGTATTCAAGTCCACCGGCAGAAACATATGATAATACTCAAGTTAACATGCACAAATCACCTACCTTGGTATCCAGCACACAGTGGGTTTGTGCCATCCACTTCTCTTATGTTATTAATATAGAAATAAAATAATTTCCATATTCATTAGTGATATAACATACAGTAAAACTTTCTTCCATGAATATTAAATTATTTGAAGTCCAGAATATCATTATATACCTCATTTTAAGTCCCTAATTTCACATCTAGTATAATGTTGAATCCATAAGCAGTGCTCATCATCGGATTATTTAGTATGCAAAGCTTTCAAGAAATCTGTATGTGTTGGCAGCACATATCACAATAAAATGAAAGAAAAAAATCCTACTGACTCAAAATCATGAAAAATGTAACCCCCACATTGGATATGCATGTGCTTAGAAGACCTCAAGAGGAAATAATCTTTGGAATAAATTGATACATCTCTTGCAGAAAGGAAATGCTCAGTGAGAGTCTGTTGATGAAATGGGCTTAAAAGCCTTTCATGTTATACATTTATGTCTCTTATATTATCCTATATGTATACAGAATAAAGCAGATGGAAATCTTCAGTAGATAATAAAACAAAATTATAGAAATGAAATTTTTCTTTAGTGATTAAAATTCGGTGCTCTGATTTATATATTCAGGAATTAAATCTTGCTGGGATCTGAACATTCACATTAATTTCTTCTCCAATGGTAGAGAAAGCCAGAGCCAGTTGCCAGTGCAACCAGGATGAGGGAACCAACATGCAGCCTGAGATGTGACCTGCAAGGTGTTTCTGGCTTCCACTGACAATCATTCATAGAAAAACTGTGTTCTTTGTTCGGTCAGCAAGAATACTAGATCAAAGTTTTGCCTGTTATGTAATTTAGGTATTTACAGTGGTGCTGTGGGCTGTGGTTATGAGAGGGGAGGTTGAACTAGAATGAAGAGATATTTCAGCAAAATTCATATTCCATGACATTACCTAGGGAATGTGTGATAAGGTGTACATATATCATTATTAAGCAGTTAGACAACCACTTGTTCAAAAACAAATTTGTGAGCACCTAACCACCTGGGAGTTACACATGTAACCCATGCGAACAGCACTGAGGCAGCCACTGTGCACCACCACTTCTCCTTCATGTCAGTATTCTAGACAGTGATAAAAGAGCACAGCACTTTCTCACTGAACCAGAATCTTGTCAACAGGAAGCCCTGGGGATTGAAACATACTGGCTGTCACCAGCATGGCATATTCATGTAAGAATCATTCAATGAACATTTCCCAACATCTCCTGTTGGTTCTGCAGATGCAAACAGGAGGGTGAGGGAGACAGAGACGCTCTCCCCAGGAGGGAGCAGCAGAGGAGGCCAGCAAGCTTGGGTTTTTCACACAGTGATGCATTGCTATGGAGGCACTTCAACATGCTGGGAAGAAGTGGGGACTCGTGGTGTTATATTTATTTTTATAATTTTCCTTTGGTTATTATTATCCATGCTAGAATCTGTATCTTTTAATCAAGCTTAAACCCAGCAATATAATGGTTTTTGTCATACCTCTGCATAAACAGATCTTTATTAATTCTTTCCTGTTAGGGCAACAAAACACCTGAACAGAGTTTTTGACAATTAGCAGCTCAGATGTATTCTTTCATTCATTTACTCAACAAATATTATGGACTGTTGACTGTGTGGATAGGATCTAACTAGCAATGATGTAAGGCATCAAAAAGGCAAGAAAGGACAAAACTCCCTGTACTCCAGGGATGCATTCAAATAGGGGAATACAGACACTGTATAAGTAAAATTCTGCAGTCTCCATTATCTTCAGAGAACATGCTCTAGGCATCCCCTATCAAGCTCTTGGACCAAGTTAGTACTGAAGTCTATATATATTATGTTCATACCCATACATGCATACCTATGGCAATGTTTAACAAATTAGGTACAGTAAAATTTTTTTTAAATAACTAGTAACAAAATAGAATAATTCTAACCATAGAGAATGATCAAAGTTATGTGAATGCAGTCTCTCATCTCAGTTCCTTACGGCACTACAGAAATATTTTCTGATTGCGGTTAGAAATGAATAACTAAAACCACAGAAAGTGAAAACATGGCAAAGGGGCAATTACTGTATATTATTTATTAAAGGATGATTAAAACTGAGAGTTAATACCTTTGCACATGTATGATACACATACATTAAATATTCTGGAAAATGTAAAAGCAGGCTTTCATGATGGCTACCACAGAGTATTTGGACTAAGGCTTATGGGGCCAGGGCTTTTAGTTTTTATATTATGCCCTTTTGAATTATGTGCTTTATTTTGTTTTTTTAATGTTATATATTATTTATGTGATTAGACAATGTTGCATAAGTTTCTGAAAGAACAAGTAGAAAACACATATTCCTCCACATTTGATTATCATATAGTATAATGTGATATAATGCTTAGGGATAGAGACTGTTTGAAATTCCCTTTGACTCTCCTTTTCAAAAGCACCAAGCTATCATTTCCTACTCCAGAAGATTGAGAATAGTTTATATTTTGGAAAAATAAAAAGAGTCATCTTTAAATAGGAGATTCTCCATCTAGAATTGAAGGATTTGTTAAATATTTGTAAAAGCTTATCTTTTTTGTTATATTTTCTCCACTATGGACAGAAAAAATTTTATAAATAGAAAAGTTTCTTTGAAACAGTTTCTTGAAATTTCCAAAAGGATAACCAATGTGTAATTTTTGCTGACTAGAAAAAAATGTTTGAATTAAGTTTTAATAATCATACATCAATGTTTTCTATAAATCAGGCAGTAAACATATAATCATATAATCAACACAAGAAATGTGACAAGATATGGAATATCAATCATAAAAATATTTTAAATCATTGTGTGATCAATTTATTTTTAATATTTATATAAAATATAAAGTGTATTTATAAACACTTAGGGTGACGTACCTTTTATATCTTTTTTCTCTAAGTCTTTCAGTGCTTGAACAAATATCAACTGACTTTCAGTGAGAGGCCAACTGTTATACAGCACCAAACACTGTATGATATACTTGTAGTCCTGTGAAACAAAATGTAGTGTTCAAGAACAAACAATAAAAATAGACACAGTAGGTGCCCAATATAATTATGCTAAGCACCTAGACAATATCAGATGTTTTCAAAAATTCTGTAACACAACTGTCTATAAAAGTTAATATCATCACATCCCTACCAACACCTTCCATTGTCTAAATTTCTAATTTTTGTCAGTCCATAAGTACAAGGTGATATCTCCTTACGATTGTATTTTTGCATTTCTCATATTATTAAAGAGGTTGGGTATTTTTTCAGATAAGATAATTGCATCTACATTAGAGGATTAGCATACAGATTAAATTTACCATATATTTAAAGATACTGACATAGAGAAATTGTTCATAAATATCTTACTCTTTAATTCTGAGTATCATTATGATGGATTGCCCACAGGAAGTACTACACATTGACAACTTTTAGAAAGAAGATTATTTTATGGTAGGTTTTTATGAACAGTCCAATTGAGCTATTCTTCTAATGCTACTATACCTGCTGTGGTGTGTTAGAATTCTCTTCCGCAATGGAGGGTACACTGATAACTTCCTCCTCCAACAGAGGCATGGCAATGTCCACTAGCCCACTTCCACGTCTACTCTTATAGGCCTTCTGACTACCCTGGGAAGATTTCTTCTTAGCATACATTTCTGACTCTTTCTTGGATGGACTATGATATGGAAGAACTTTCTTGTTAGCTGAATAAGGGAAATATTAAATTAGTGTATGTGACAGGCATATTTATTAGTGACTAAATTAGTTAGATCCCTTTATAATACACTAAAAGGAATAGGTTTATTTTAACAAGATTAAAAAACTACAACATCATCACTGAATCCTTTGGAATATTCTGGTTTGAAAGAAATCTACTATAAAGTACAGGACCTACACAGAACAGTGCATATTCTGAAAAACAACCATTCATGGACAAGAGAATATGCAACACTTAACACCACAAGCCATGCACCTGATTTTCTCAGTGCTTAACATCATGTGTGTATTTCATCACATTTATCAAAGGATTTACTTTAATTTTAATTTATATATATAATCTTTAATTAAAAGGTACTATAAGCACAATTTGGATGAATAAAATAGAAATATGTTGAATATTATTAATTAATTTACCAAATATCTATGGAGATAACATAAGTGAATGACACAGGAAATTCCAATTCCAGCCAGGACAGAGTCATGGGCACTGGACATATTCTTCCACCAAAACATTATAAAGTTAGACAAAATGTGTAAAGCAAGTGTCATTTGTATACTATATAGTCCAGGATTATGATTCTTGAAAGTCAGGAAATATGCAAGGTAATTTCTTCACTGTGCCAATAAAGAAATGCATAAAGAAGTACGAGACATATGAAAACATGCTCAAACCTCACTAATGAGAATGAAACATAAATTAATACTTTTAGCATTCAGATTGACAAAAGTCAAAAACACTGTACAGCTCAGAATAGATAAAAGAAGCTGAATGGAAAATCTGTCAATTTATGGGAAAATCAAAACTACATACACACATCCACCCAATAGTTCTACTTCTTGCATTTATCCAATGTATATGCATACATGAGTTCAGAAACTCACACACTTAGTTGTTTTTTAAAAATTCTTCATTATTTGTAAAACAGCATATTGAAATTATTGCAGACATGAGAGTTGGAGCCTTACACAGCCATGCAAAATGAAATATTTTACTTTCTTTAGGCCACAGTGCTTCCTCAAATGCTCAAATTTTGTAGAAAAATCACAAATTTTAAACTAACTCTACAGCATGAGTATGGGTATAACATTTTATTCTTGAAAATCATGATATTCTGTAGAGTTCCAAGAAATAATACAAAAAGTTAAAAAGTTTATATTTCATATTTTGTTACTGGATTAATTCAGGCATCTACATCTTTGAAATGGCTGAAATGGAGCTTATCCTGGTATTTATTCATGGAATTCACCCTAAGGTAGACTGCCGTATCCTGTACACATACACACACACACACACACACACGCACATTTTTTATGTATTTTCAGTGAGTATATCCCAGAGATATATATTGTAAAGGATTTATAAATACATGTTTCCAAGAGAAGCAACTGCAGAAAGTAAATTCACTGTTGTATCTGCTTATATAATTCACAAGCAAAAATGAATAGTATCTGTTTAATCTCTAAATTTTCTGTTTGAAATCTAAATAAAGAAAATATCCAATTCACAATAACATCTCTAGCAATCCATGAGAAGGAAACTTAATTTTTTTCTGTAAAATATTAAAGTAATAAATAAATGGAAAAACAGCCTTACAAACAAAATTCAATTATGCAAAAGTGTCAGTGCTTCATTTATCTATATATTCAAGAAATCGATATATTCAAGAAGGAAAACAATTACAGATTTTTGTGTGCTTTGGAATAAACTTGAAATTCATATTGAAACTACTTAGAAAATGCAACTATACAAATAGAATCAACTTGTAAAAGAAGACTGATCATGGATGTTGGCTCTACTTTTGGATCAATTTTCAATCATCCTTCTGCTCAATTTTACTACCTATTTCCTTGGTACAAGTAAACTCATAAAATTGGTTTTAAACATTTATATGTATTTTCATTTTAAAAGATTATGTTTTGAAGTAAAATAATGATCAACTGTATGACCTCTAGGTCATAAAGCAGTGTTTACCGTCATAAGTTCCATTTAAAGATTAAGAGAAATGCTGATCTAACAAAATGATTTAAGGAAAAAGCATGAGATCATAAGTAATTGAGAGAGTTCACATAGTACTTGCTAAGATTTTGGAATTAAACTAGTAAAAAAACAAAAGTCTATCCTCTGAAAACATCAGACAGAGAGTTTTGAAGTCTGTACTAATAAAATTTTTAAAATGATTTCTGAAGCATTTAAAATGATTTTCAAAAATAGAAAAACTAGGAATTTTCCAAAGAACTTTTAATAGCTTCTCATAATTTTAACTTGAGAAGTCGAAAAGAATAATGTACAGGTGCACACGCAGAGGAAAAACACACCCATAAAGATACAAATTTAGTAATATGATCCAACGAACTAAATAAAATCATATATTCTAAACATGAAACCATGAGGGCCAAAAGGGTTTTATTTCAAAAATACAAAAGTGATCAAAACTAAAAAATAAATTTATGCAACTCAAAGGGTTAAAAGTTGATGATTTATATAAACAAGTATATAAGGTTCTACCCATTCCATATTAAAATTCTCAGCTATCAATAGAAAGAATTTTCTCAAGTTTCATAAAGGGCATCAATAAATATAATATTTAATGGTAAACGCTGTAAGCTCTCCTATTTCAGAAAAGGAAATACATCATCATCACTTTTACTTAACATTATTTTAGAGATCATAACCAACATCACAAAGAAAAAAAGGTTACAATTTTATGAAGAAAAAGCAATCTACAAAATACGCAAAGTCCCAGCTACATTTAAAATTAACTGCAAAGATAGAGAATTAATATAAAAATTAAATATTAACAGCATTTTGGTATAAAAGCTAAAGTGTGGATGGTATATTTTTCTGGATGACATAATTATAAGAGATTCCTGATCCCTTGTCTATGATTTTTCCAAATTTTCTGCATTGGTCATGTGTTATTTTAGAGTTAGAATCAAGTTACTAAAATGAATAAATAATATATTTCACAGTATTACTGTTAATTATTTTAGAAATAACTGATTTACTTAATTCATTGAAAATGTATTGAAAAAACTGTAATGTCTACGTTAATTTTAATAAGTAGAACATTTTCTAAAAATAATGAATTAGGAATAAAAGTGAAAAATTATTTCAAAATAACAAAAATTGTACTTCTTCGTAAGAAGGTCTATGTAATAAGAATGCAAATTTTTCTTCAAAATGAAGTCTTTAAGTAAACATATAACCAGTTTACATATATACTTCAGAGCCTAATATCACATACTATTACATTATGTCATTGGTGTCAAAAACAGTGTTTCTGATATTTTTCAACAGAATCAATTTAAGTGGTCCTTTGATGTTTTAACTTAAAACATGTAAAAATGACACAAAAAGTAAATATCTATTTATGAATCCAAATACCCAACTCAAGAAGACACACTTACACTGGGAACTCATAGGTTTCTCATTTCCAAGGAAGGTAAATGCTGGGATTATAGCTTGGCCTCTTCCAATGGAGCTCACCACAGTTTCTTCGTTTTCTAGCACCTGCAGCTTGATAAATGCATCTGGTTTGGATGTCCGCACCTGTATTGTTACAGGATGTACTAATGCCACTTTAACAGAATACCTATTAAGAAAAGAATCTAAGTTTATAAGCAAGCACATTGGGCTTTCCGTTTTAAATAATGAAAATGGTATAATTTTCTCACATGATTATCTAAAAGTAAAGCCACTTCATAAAGTCCATAAACATTCTGGAAAACAGTAGTTAGCATAGACTTTGGCAAAGGATACAAATATAGTACAGTCAAACAAAATGAGACTATGTTTTTATTATCATCATATCCCAAGAAAAAATTCTTTGTTCTAACATCTGACAGGTAGTCATGAAATTTGATAGAAAAGCCATCATATTTAATAGATCTGAAAACTACACACCAACCAATTTCATTTTCCTTCTCCTTTGCAGATGGGCAAAGAGCACACAGGGGATAAGCAAAATGCTTGCAAGAATCCCTCTTAACAACATTTTCATTCTATCAAAATATAGAGAAAAAGTAAAAATAATATCCATAGCCTCAATCCTCACCCTTTACCCTACAAGTTAGAAACCTCTTGCAAAAAGATTAAAAACATATAATCTAACCTATCTTTCCAACTCCCACGCAGTGAAGTCATGGGAGGAGGGAGTATGTTTCATTTATGGGTTTTTTGTTTTCAAATTCCTAGTGATCCCATGCAAATGCCCAGGACCCAATGTTTCAGATTCTTTAGAAATGTGTCCTTCTGAGTATCCTCTCCCATTTGTGTCATAAAATACCTCCCTCTTTATTCTTCCTTGCCATGAGCTTTTCAGTTTGCAGTTCTGTCCCACCTCCAAGGCCAATGAAAATAAAACAAAAGACAAACCAAGGAAAGTCAACCACCTCCCAGACCCAAGTACTGTACCTCACCTGGTTTCCAAAGCCATCTCTTGGATAGACCCCTCTTCTGCTCTCACTACATCACCCTGAATCAAATTCAGTCAGGGCTCTCCACTCACCCACACGCCAAACTTCCTCTTGCCAATGTTCCAAGCAGCTCTTTATTACTGTGTAGCAACTTAGGAGAATTTGTCAGAATTGCACCAACCCTCCTTTCCTTCTCCTTTACAACAGCCTTTGTGAACATAGGAACCTCTACACTTTTTCTATTTTAGGGCTGTTTTGTCAGTCTTCTCTCCCACTGACTTTCCCAAAAATATGAGAGGAAGATGTCCTGTTCTGGGTCTGATTTTTATTCTACAAAATTTTCAGGGTACTCCATGAGCAGAAACAAAATAATGATTCCCAAATCAAAGTCTCTCACCCAACCATTTATCCTGTGTCACTGGGCTATTTCACTGGTCTACTATATTTAATAGCTGCAAAGGAAGTCCTCCATTGACTTTAAAAAAATGGGCTTCTCCCCTATTTTCTACCTAAATAAATAATACCACCCAGATATTTCCCCAAGTCAGACTCCTGGAGGCCCAATCAACCAGGGCTATCAATTTTACCTCTATTTCTTAAAAATTCTTTCTCTTCTCCCCAGATCCACTGTCTCTGTGATAAGTCAAATCCTGCCCCTTCCTCCGACAAGATATTGTGGGAATCCTCACCAATCCAGTGCCTCACAATGTCAGTTTATTCAGTGGTAATCACGTTAAATGAAGTCATTAGGGCAGCTCCTAATTCAATGTGACTGGTGGTTTTATAAAAAAGGAAATTTAGAAACAAAGTCACACAGAGGAAACATATATAAAGATGAAAGAAGAAATCAGGGTGATACATCTACAAGCCAAGAACACCAGGAATTACCAGCAAACCACAAGATGCCCTGAAAAAGTCAAGGAACAGATCCTCCTGCACAGCCCCCAACTATGTTGCTGATTATGGGTAATGTTTACTTACTTACTAATGCACTTGAATACTTTCCAGATTGCCTGTGCAGGGTAGTATATATTAAAAAGAGAAGATAAGTAGTCTAACAGTTTACTGAATAACAACAAATATTTAATGCAGGTCAATTTTGTATCAGGCATTATATGGGGTCCAATATTGAAGACATGTCTCTGGCTTTCAATTAGTGTTAATTTTCATACAAGCTGATGTGAAGGTAACCAGGTAAAATTTATACATCATATTCTCAGAGAGGAAAAAGGGCTATAGAAACATGACCTGAGTCTATTTATATGTGGAGATTTCAACATAAAAGATAATATTGTTGAAAATTATCCTTAAAAGTGATGAGTTTTTCTAAGTGGAGAAAGGAGGACACAATATCAGAAGATGAGAAAAAAGTCATGGACAAAATAAAATGCTGTGGCACATAGATGAGAATGGAGTTTTTAGTTCCATCAAGAGGATGCACTGTAACTGGTGGTTGGGGAAAGGTATTGATTACCATGCTACAATCTTGGATTTTTATTCTACAGCCAATGGAAAATTATCAAAGACCCAGAACCCAGAAGGAAGCTCCCTGGCTGCCATCCCAAGCTCCTAGGTCAGAGAAGGTGAGCCGGTCCCAGTACCCAGAAGGAAGCCCCCCACCACCATCCCAAGCTCCTAGGGCAGAGAAGGTGAGCAGCGTGGGCACCAGAAGCACCCCTTCCCCACCATGGAAATGAGAAGGCACCTAAACAAGTCTCAAAAACAGACTTCTGGATCACCTACAGCAACCCCAAAGGGAAACGAGATGGAACAATCTGCTACTCAACCACCTGGACTCTCTGAACTGGCAACAAAAGAGGATCTGGAAAAAATGAAATCAGAAATACTTACTCATAT